AATAGCTGCGGAGTGAGGTGCAGAATATTCATGTACTGTGAGCCAGAATGAGGCAAATGTGAATCTTTATTACCAGTGGAGGTTGTTAAATATTTTCTGCTTGAGACACGCTGTGACACATGAAACCCAATTAGAATATAACTAAACCCCACTTTAAATTATAGATAAATGACAACAAATGAAGGGGAACAGCCTGAGCTCCCCAGTGCACAGCCTGGGGGAACAAGGGGGACAACTTTGAGAGGAGGGCAGCCCCCTCAGGACACCTCCATCCCAGCCAGCAAGCAACAAAACAGCAATGTGTTTCCTCTGCAGGGCTGATTTTTGCCCTAAGATATCCTGAAGGAGACACTCAGGGAAGCAGGATGGATCCCATTTCCCTGCTAACCAGCTCATGCATTCACCTGAAACAGCCCCAGACTTCCCCCTTCCAGTGCACCATAAGAACTCCTGAGCCCTCTGTGCCTGGGCTGTGTTTCCTTAAATCTGACTGTGCCTGGTAATAAAAAACATAGTAAAAAGGAAAGACAGATGTTAAGGAAAAATATGTATCAAGGGCCAAAGGCTGCACTGGTGCTGTGTTACAGAAATGCTGGGATTTTCTATCCCTTGGCTCATCAAAACCAAGCTAAGGACATGGTCAGGGATGGAAAATCAGGGGCTGAAAGACCTTTGGGGTTAATTCTGTAATTGTTCTGTGAGATGCTTGTCATCACTAGAGAGGTTTCATGGACTGAGTGAGTTTTAAGTGGCTGCTGCTGGGATCAAGCAGGGCCTCTGAGCAATATCCACAGGGATATTGCTGTGGGTGGACAGAACACATGGGCAGACAGGCATGCTCTTAACTCATTTTCTCCCTGACCCTGCCAAAGCTCCCAGGATGCTGGGATTCCCCTTGGTGGCCTTGTAAGAGTATCCAGCAGGAGCATCCCACAGTGTTGCCATGGAGATGGGGTTCAGGAGAAGCCTGGGTGCTACACTCCTCTGGGGAGGCTGCAGGACCCCCACTGCATTACAGCCCTTCCCCTTGGCTGTCCTGGGAGATAAAAGGGATTTAAGGACTTCATTAGTGCCACAAGGATCTCATCCAGAAACAGAGGAAGGATCTGTGCTGGTGATCAAAGCCAAGGCCCTTCATTAGTGGCAGTGTCCAGGACCTTCATTAGCATGTGAAGAGGGAGCCCAGAGCAGCACAGCAGACAGGAGGATGGGGAGGTGCTGTGGAGAGAGAACAGCACCTGCCTAGAGGAGTTTTTGCCTTCTGTGCTTCTCAGATCTGCAAGTCTCAAAGGACACCAGGCCCTTGCTGTCCCCTTGACCCCAGTCCCCTCTGGGGGCTCTGCCAAAGCACTGCAGTCACAGGAACAGCGACAGTGAACCTCTGCCCAGCACTGACCTGGGCACTGACCTTGTGCAGCACAGAGCTGCACAAACCCCATGGAATCCTGTGTGAGCTGCTCAAACCCCATGGAATCCTGTGTGAGCTGCTCAAACCCCATGGAATCCTGTGTGAGCTGCTCAAACCCCATGGAATCCTGTGTGAGCTGCAGTTCTGCCGTGCTGGTGTGCATTGCCCCAGGGATCGCCTGCCACCCGTCCCCATGTCCCCACAGAGCTCAGGCAGCACTGCTGCCCCAAAAGCACCATCCCACAGGGGTGTGCAGCATGATTTCTGCATTTCTGAATAGCTATTGATCCCTCCTTTATACTCTTCACCCCGGATCGATCCAGCTCAGCTTCTGTGACTCAAACTAAATTAGCTGCCATTAATCCATGGATAATTGCAGTGAGCCCAGCTCTGAGTGTCCCAGATTCATGGGTGTCAGGGACGGGGAGGACAGTGCTGGGTCACACAGGGACATTCAGGTTTCTCCTCTGTGGGTAAAAACCCCAAACAAGCCAGCAGACATCAGCCCAGAGGCACCAGGGGAGTTGCCTCAGGACATCCATGCTGCAGCCAGAAACCTGGCTCCTATGGCTGGGAGCTGCTATTCCAGCAGATTTGCCCCCAAGATCTGGGCATTGCCTCCCAGCTACAGATTTCTCCAAGCCTCAGCATTCCTGATGTGGGTTGTAGTCTCAGGTGATACCATGAAATTGCTACTGGCTCCTGCCAGGCTGCAGTACAAGGCGTTAACCCCAAATTCTACTCAGCCATGGGGAGAGGAGCAGCCTCAGCCCTCCTGGAGTCTTGGATAAAACCCCAGATGGAAAGCAGAGCCTGTTCCCCTTTGATTAGCAGCCCAAGCTCCCTGGGAGCCCTCAGAATCTCTCACCTCTAATTTAGCAGCTCACAAAACACCGAAGGCAGTGGAGGTGCCACTGTGGCCTCACCCGGACTGACAGGCTGGCACAGCAGCTGGGGATATCCCCACACTGACAGCAAGGTCACCCCTCCACTGCAGTTCTGATTCCTCTGTACACCCCCAAAACACCCCTCCCGCCCAGGCACCCAAAAAGGCACCCACAACACTGCACTTTCCTCCCTGGACATCCTCCTCTGCCCTTCTGTAAAGCCTCCAAAATAAACATTTAATTTTGATTCGGTGCAACAGTTACCGCAGTCAGTAAATACCAAAACTACACAAAAGGAGGATTAATGGTCTTGTGCACCCCTGTCCTGGCCTGCAATTGCCAAGTGTCCATTGTACAACCCTTAACTGGGTGCACATGGCCTCCTGCAGCGCCACAGGGCCTTCAGCCATCCCTGCACACCCCTCACTGCCTTCCCAGCCGTGGCCAAGGTTGGTTGAGAAATGGGTGGGATTGCTCCAGCTGCCAGGCAGGAATGGGAGACTTCCAAGTGGTAAATTGGTTCTAAGCATTGGCCTGTGGGTACAGAGCCTGTTCAGAGCAGCTGAGCATTATGTGGGGATGATGGTCCCCAAAAAACCATGGCCAGTGCACCTGGCAAAGGCAGCCAGCCTGGGGAGAGCTGTGAGTTCCTCTGCACAGCTCTGGAGCACACAGGGGCTCAGGGGATGGCCAGGCAAGGCACACGCTCCAGGGCCATGCAGAGGTGCTACAGGGTTTGGATAGAAATGGCCAGGACGTGCTTTAGTGGGAGGGGAAACTAAAGCAGCAGCTGAGCCACAGGGGACACCCCCAGCACAGAGTCCTCACAGCACGGCCAGGCTGTGTCCCCTTGGTCCCTGGCACCAAGCTGCATGGAAGGTTAGTTTAAAAAGAAAGAAGCGTGTTTTGAGCAAGTGCTGGCCAGCCTCAGCTGCAAATTCACTTGTCAGGAATATTGGAATTACTTGGAGCTGGATGGTGTGAACATCTGTGCAAGGCAAATGCTGGGGGCAGTGCCCACCATGTATCCCCACCCATATCCCCTGCAAGGAGATCCTGGCAAGCCCCTCAAATTATCCAGGAGAGGAGGCTGAAACTCAGGGGATTCACCATGGCAGTTTGCTGGCTGCAAATTCCCTCTGGGTGAATACTGGAGTAACTGGGCTCAACAGCCCAGGACTGGCTTTGGAGGGACTCCTCATACCAGCCCCACATCTCCTGCCCCCCTGCACCCGCCTGTCATGGGTTCCCCTAATATTTTGGGGCATTATGGAGCCTTTCCATCACTTCCAGAGCAACCACTAAGCAGCACTTTCAAACAGCCTCCTCCTGCAGCAGACCCAGCTACCAAAATCTGCCTGTTCATGCCCAAAATAACCCTCAGGCAGGAGCTAATCGTCCACTCAGGCATAAGCAGATCAGTGCTCAGGTGCTGGCCACCCAAGTGTGGGGCAATGGGGTGCTCATGTGTGAGTTAACCATGTGCCCAGGTTAAGAAACCTCATTATTTTGCCCAATGTACCTTCTCAAAGGCTGGCATGCCAAAATTGCACCACAACATGTGTTTTGGATGGGGGTATTGACACTGGAGCAGAGTTGGATCCAGGATCCACCCTTCTCCATCCCCCACAAGAAACAGCTTTCAAAGCTCATCTCCCATTGATGTCACATCAATGCCACAGGAGATAAAAGCTGAGAGATTCAGAACCAGTGCTGGGTTTTCCAGGGAATATTAATTAGAGGGAAAGCCTCATTAGCACAGAAAGGATGGTTGCTTACAGTGCTTCACCCTCACCCCATGAGTCCTGGACCCCCCCAAAGGGGCATGGTGGGTGTCAGGTCTCCCACCTGCCTTGGTGCTCTGATGATGGGGTGCTCTGCACATTTCCTGGTGTGTTAAATGTTAAAGCAGGTGTTTATATTAAAAAGATGCCAAGGGAAAACCTGTTTCTCCCCATCCATGGTTGCTAAGGCTCCCGGGTGAGCCCAGAGCCCTGGGCTGGAGGAAGTCCCCCTGAGCCATCTCCAGCAGCCTGATGGCAAACCCAAGTGTTTGTGGGGAAAAAGCAGCACATCAGTTATCTGCTGTGTCTTTGGAGAGCTTTCTTGACAGCTCTGCAGCTGGAGAGGAGCAGGGGGAGTGCAGGATGCCGCCTCCAGCCACGCTGAGCCTCTGCACTGGTGGAGAAAGCCCCCACATCTGCTACCAAAGGGAATGCAGGAAGGGATCAGGAAAATAGACACTGTGAAGTGGCACAGGACCCCTGAGCCTGGAGATCCCACTCCAACCATCCTGAGAGCCTGGGCAGGCTGGGAAGCACCCACCAGCCCTGTCTCCTGGTAACTGTTCCAGAAAACAATGAAAAAAAATGAAATTGGAGGGTTGGTGACAGGAAAGGGATGACAGGAAGCACCACTGGGAGGGTTGAACCACTGTAGTCACCAGTGATGAGCAGCACCCCTGGGAGCCCCAGCACTGAGCCTGGCAAAGGGGTCCAGAAGGGGAGCTGCAGTAGAACTCAAGCAAACCCAACCCCTGCTAAAGTCATAAAGGCCAGGGGTGATTCCAGGGACAGGCAGAGTGTGGGAAGCACAGGACATGGCCAGCAGCAAGGCAAAGGCACTGGGAGATCAGAGGTGCCACAACAACAGTTATTCATCACAGAAAAAAAACTTCTCATTCTTTTTTCTTTTGTATTGTTTTATTGAGAGGTGAAGCCAGTTCATCCTGACAGAGGTTCACAGCACAGCTCTGCCTGGGGGCTGCTCGCAGAGACACCAACAAGCGACAGGGGATGGGAGGGAAGCACTCTGTGTCTGTGCCATGAGGGGCTGGTGGGCACCCAAACGGGCTCAGCACGTCACCCCAGCCCTGTGCCACCTCAGGGACACTGTGGCATCTGTGTGGGCTTCCCCACAGGCACTCAGCAGCAGCCCTGCTCACCGAGGATCATCTCCTGGCAGACAGAAACCAACTCACTCTGAGCATGATGGGTGTCAAATCAATCCCCACAGCAGAGATGCCAAGCTAAAAAAAAAAGGGAAAAAAACCCAAAAGAAAGCAGGCAGCCATCTGCCAAACCAGCAATTTTCAGCTGGATTTTCAGAAACACTTCAGGCTTTTAAAACCAAGAGAGGAGAGAAAGCAAAACCACTCCTCTTCCACAAGCACAGAAAGCACTCAGATGAAGTGCAAAATTCCCATTTGACTTCAAAGGCATTTCTCCTGGCTAGTGACCCCCAAATCCTGGCACAACCCACTAGAAAGCCAGTGGGCAGTGCCATTTTGCTGCCAGATGATGGCATACAGCCAGCTGGGGTGAGGTGCCATGCTGGGGGAGCCCAGGGTGTCAGAGGGATGCTGAAAAACTGGTACTCATCCATTTGGAAGCAGGGAGAACAGGGAGGGAAGGAGGAGAGGAAAGGGAGAATAAACTTTACATCAGTTGTAATCAGCAGGTTTTTTTCATGCACTATATATTAAGTTAATGTATGTTACAATCTCCTCTGTAATGGAAAAATACCACAGCTGTTGTAGCCAGTAACACTTTTAAGGGCATGTGACTCCCAAGTCATCCAGGTGCTTTTGACAGTGTTACCCTGGGTTACTATAGCAACCCAAACAGTTTTCCCATCTGACTTCTCCATTAACATTGGGATTTATACTTAATTTGTTTTCCTTTTCTTCAGCAAGAAGGGGTGAGAAGCAAGTGTGCATACAGGGCCAGGAGATGCTCCTCCATGGGTGTCTCCTGGCCATACCAACACCAGCACCCAGGACCACAGTCAGTTGTGCTGAGACGCTGCTGGAGCAGCAGTGCAAGCAGCCCCTGACATGCTGCAGGTGGGGAAAGGCACAGCCCCACTGCACTGCCTGGGAACCAGCTGGGATGGTGCTCAGGGTGGCTCTGTTATGGGGTTCTCCAGTGTTCCCATGCCAGTCTGTCCCACTCTTGCCTTTTCGTGGGCAGCAAGACCGAGGGGCTCACGAGCTGAGCATCCCACGCAGCTCCTGGACAGAGGTGACAGGCAGGGAGCAGGTGAAGTTGCTGCAAATATAGGCAGTGGCTTTCCCATCCTTCCTCTCCAGGGATGCGAGGAAAGGCAGTTGGCGGTAGAGGAACCCAGTGCTGTCTCCATCTGCGACCATCAGCACCTGCCCAGAGAAGGAGCTGTGAGAGTCAGAGAGTGCAGCTGCTTCTTCCTGCCCCACTGACATGCTGAGGGCTGGCAGTGTCCCCACACACACTCTCCCAAAATGGGGAGGGGATGGGGAGCTGGAGGGACCCACTCCAGCCCTCTATCCCACAGTGGTCACATCCCTATAATGCAGGAAGAAGCATGGTGGATACGTGGCAGCTTTGCCTCCCTGAACCACACCAAACACTTGACACATCCTGAAGTACAGGGATCAGCACATCCCAGCCTAGCCAGCTCCTTGGGGACACCTGCCCAGCCCAGGAACAGACCCAGAAACAGATGCAGCATTGCCCCATCCCACCTGCAGCCCAGTTCCTCCTGCCCTCCCCATGCTTCCCAGAAAAACTCAGGCAGCAATGAGCAGTGGGTCAGGGGCTTTCCTGGCTGACACAGCAGCATCAGCCAGAGGTGACTGGGCTGCCAGGATAATTAGCTTTTCTGAAAGGGAAAATGTTGGTTAAAGCCTCAGGGCTTGCAGGCTAATCAGGAGAAAGGCCAGGAGCTGGCTGCAAGCCCAAGAGATGCAAAGGGTGAGCAAAAGGCTGTCCCTTCCCAAGGTACAGAGGGAATATCCTGCTGCTGGAGCACACAGCTCTCCCTTTCCTGCCCCAGTCCCAGCCCTGCATGTGTCTGCTGAGGATGGACACTTGCAACATGTCCCTGCTACTCACGCCAATGCCACCAAGGGATGCTGACACCAAATGCTGCCTCTCACAGCACACACATCTCCCACCATGGCACTGCACACCTGGCATGCAGCAGGGCCAGCAGAAGACCCAGCACTGACATCCAGAAACACCCACACAGCCTCACTCATGCCTGGCAGGGGCTGCCCACTCCCTTGTGTCCCCAGGGGGGCACCACATCCCCGAGTCCCTACCCTGGATAGTGGCTGCTGCAGTCCTATCCTATCCCCCATCACCCCACATCTGCTTGACCCAGCTCTGGATCAGCCTGTCTCCCTGCCTGCCTCCTGCTCCCCCCAATCTCCCCCCTCTTCACCTCTGTCTGGAATTAATTCCAGGAGTGATTAATTACCAATTCATGTCCAATCTGAAATTCATTATTCATTTTTCTCACAAGCTCCCCAAGGTCCTCTCATGGGGTCAGGATGAAGGCGAGCGGCAGGCAAGCGCTCTGCAGCCAAGGAGATAATGGGATCCTTCATAATTACCCTAAAGACCATTATCAGGGCAGGGATCTATACCAGGAGCTGGGATCCAGCCCCAGAGCAGGGATCCAACTCCCTCTGCTCCCAGCAGCAGGACACCCACAGGAACAGCTATCAGCATCACCCCTACTTGAATCCCCACAGAGCTGCCTGCAGCAAAAGGGCTATTCCAGACCCAGGGTCCATTTAAAATCACAACCTCAATGCAATTTTATCATCAGCATTTTGTTACAGCATGGATTTCAGGGTGAGGTTTGTAAGGAATTAATTACTGGAGCGACCTAATTAATTGTGTTCCTGCACGCAAGCCTGGCCCCCAGCACCCTGCTGGCACGAAGGGAGTGGGGGCACAGGGGACAGAGGGATGCTGCCCCAACTCCTTGGCAAAGGCAATTCCCAAATCAGCCATGTCCCTGGAGCATGTGACCCAGGGCTGCTCTGCTCAGGGCAGCCTCCTGAGACAGGGAAGGAGATCTGAGGAGCAGCTGGAGGGGATGGAGGCAGGTGGGAACAGGAGCACGCTCGTGTTTGTGTGACGCAGCATGGAAAGAGGGACGGCTGCTGGGAGGCAACGGGCTGCTCCCAAAGGTAGTGCAACCCTCTGAGAAGTGGGACTCTGCCCCCTTCCTCCCATCACCTCTGCAAGGTGAGGAGCCACTGCTACTGCCAGAGATCATGCTCCTACCACTCCTGCACACTCATGCTTGGGGAAGGGCAGATATGTGTCCACAGGGCTGTGCTCTTCTGGAGGAGAGCTTTTCCCTCCTGCCACAATTCTTCCAGGAAACAAACCCAAGCTGGAACAGCTTTGGCTCCATCCCATCATCGCAACATGAGGAATACACAAGGGGCAAAGAGAGCTAGACTTCCACCCTGCCTGCTGCCAGCCTCCAGCTGCAGACTCTCACATGCCCCTCGCAGCATAGGTCCCCTGCAAGCAGCCCTGGCAGGCATGGCCATGGCTTCACTCTGCCATGGAAATATCCATCCAGAATACCCAGCCCTCATCTTCCTCCCTTCCTCGAAGAATGCAAAAGCTTGGGGTAGAAAGATCCTCCCCTGGGGAAGGAGCATCCCCGCCAGCAAGACTTGTTACCAGCTTTGCAGGAGGGAGCCAGAATGCAGGGAAGAAGAAGACATGGCCATGCTATTTGTTCTGCTCAAGACCCCAAAACTGCCAGTGTGGGCTCAGGGGACCAAGGGCTGAACCAGCTGTTGGGCAGGTTATTAACAGTGGTGCTGTGATAAACTGGGTCACCCAGTGTCATCCTTCAAAGGGACAAGTGTGGGAATAGAGGCCTCGCACACGAACAGGGACCTGTGTGGAACGGGGACACTGCTGGATGGGTGATGGCAGAGGAAGGACAGAGAGCTGTGTGCCCCACTCGTGCCCCTTGGAATGTGTGGAATGTGTCCCTCCTCCTCCAGTGCTGGCACTGAACATGGCTGGGCACACAGGCAGAGGGTCAGAGGTGACATCCCCATGGGCTGAGCTAGTAAGGACAGAGCAGAGGATCTTGTGCTGATGGTTCAGCTCTCCCCAGCTCATCCCAGCTGAGCTTACAGAGGCACAGTGGTGCTTTGGCCACAGCTCCCCACATACTGAGACTGAACACACCAGTCCCTGGCACCAGGACCCAATGGCCAGGGATGAATCCAATCCAAACACTGAGCCCCCTCACTCACAGCCAGTCCTATTTCCCTCAGCTCCACAGCTTTGCTGAGGTCAAAGCCATCATCCCCAAGGCAGGGACACTTCCCACCAAAGCTGATGGGCACCAGCTCCAGATGCAGCCAACTCCAGCCTATGTGGGATGCACTGATACATTTCAAAGCAGGAATGAGGACAAGCAGAACCAGGCAGGAACCTTAATACAGAGCAACAGCTGCTGAATGGGACAAAAGCTTTGGGAAAAGTCAGGCTCCCCCAGCTGGTGGCACCCAGAACTAGAGTAAGGCACTGCCTCATCCCTTCCAAGGATGCAAGGGTGTCTCCAGGCAGCAGGTGACCCAGACACTAACTGGACCTGCACAGGACATGACACATCCACACTGGGCATGACACATTCACACAGGAATGAAAGGTTTCCCCTTGGGAAAGCACTGGATGCAGGCTGAGAGAAGTGTAAACAGCCAGCAGCAGTAACAGCCACTGCTGCAGCCACTTCTGGGCTGGGCTGCCCATGCTCTGTGCAGAGAGAGGGGTGCAGGGCTCAGCTGTGGCCCTGCTGGCTGTGCTTAGATATGAAAAGGACAGGATACTTCCCAGAAGAGAGGCAGAACAGAGGAGGATGGGTGCAATAGCTGCACTGGGAGAAAGGATGAAGCACCAGCAGTGCAGGCAGCAGAGACCAGGGAAGGGCTGGCAGGCAGGAGGCACCCCTACCTTGTTTGGGCTGAAGACAGAGTGGATGCACTGCAACATCTCTTTGGTGTCTTCTCCTTGGGGGTCCCCACAGATGACGACCTGTTCAGGGGGAGGGTGGGTGGCAGGAAAGAGAAAACTGAGCTGTGACTGCACCCATGCCACTGCCAGCCCCACTTCCTACAGCAGGTCCTGCAGGGGACACTGAGCCCCAGCCCATACCTGTTTGAGGGTGTGATGGAAGACAGCAGTGGCCCGGGCCATCTCTGAGAGGGTTATTGGGATCTTCTGCAGCCTCTCAGAGAAGGCAGCCAAGATCTTCCCAGCTTTTTCCACCCAGTCCATATGACCAGAGTAACAAGCTGCTCGGAGCAGGTTTGTGACACTGACAGAGTTAGGGGTGGGCTCTGCTCCATCTTGGTCTGCAAAGGACATCTGCCATCAGGCCAGTGCCACACCACCATCTGCCATCAGCCCAGTCCTCCCACACCATGAACACGTGGCCAGGTCCCTGAGCTCACCATCCTTGAGACGCAGGAGCAAGGAGGGATCGCCTGCCTCAGTGGAGAAATAAGCAAAGCCTTTGGGGTCCCAGAAGAGCTTGTCTTGCATGTGCTGGAGATGAAGAGCCCACTCCAGCCAGCTCTGCTCCAGAGAGGCTTCATACAGGTCAAACAGTGCCTGGATGACAAAGACATAGTCCTCCAGGAAGCCCTGGATGGGCACAGCACTGCAGTGGCAGACAGGGAAGGAAAATCAGAATCTCTAAAGTGAGTAGCTTGGAAATGTTCTCCAACCCAGCAAAGCCCTGTTTACTGCTCTCTGCTACCCAAGGAGATGCCTTCAAGCAAAGCAATGGCTGTGGCCATCACACAGCTCAGCCCCAGGGTTCTGTACAGGAGGGGAAGGCAGGAGAAGACATTTGCCAACATGAAAGATGAGGAACAGTAAAGGTTTGGACCTTGGTTCCTCCTCACTAGCCAGGGGACACTAATCCTTCCTGAACTGCACCAGAGCTCTATACAAAACAGCCTCCCTCCCTCCCAGTTCAGTCCTGCCTGGAAGAGAGGACAGGGACTGCTGGGGGTCTGGGCAGCACCTGCAGGTGGCCAGTAAGTCTGTGCACTCTCTGATATTCACCTCTGCTCCACTGAGTTGTCCTTGCCCCGGTAGCAGCTCCGCAGCAGCCTCCCGCTGCCAGGGTCAAAAAGGTGTGTCCTCAGGAAGGCAGCTGCCTGTGCAGCCCTGCTCACGTATTCCTGCTCGGCCAGGGCAGCCCCAGCCTGGGCAAAGCCTGAGATCATCAGTCCTGTGGAGGTAGAGACAGCAAGACAGGTCAGGAAGTGCACACAGAACCAGTGAGAAGGTCACTGTCAGTCTCTGAAGGATGTTCAATGTGAAGCTCATCCTCCCAGCTGCCAGCAGGTCAGGTCTCAGCTCTTCTGCTCGGTCCCAATCACTAATAAAGTCACTCACTGTCACCAAAGAGACAGGTAGAGTACTGTAAGGACAGCAAGAGCTGAGCCTTCACTTGTGGGCAGATACAGGGTTCAAGACTATTCCAGTTTGCAGGATAGCTCCATCCCATGCCAGCTCCAGACCCAAAGACCCAGGAGTTTACTGCTGGGAACAGAGCCTGGGATCCTGCAGTTACTCTCCAAGGCAAGACCCCTAGACAGAGACACAGTGCTGTGATCCCTCACCCATGCAGCAGTAGGGATGGGTCTGTGCCCACCAGGGAAGAGTTATGCTGCTCTCTGCTGGCAGCTGGGGAGGGAAATAAAGCCAGAACATCCTGATGTATCCTGATGGTCCTAAGGCTTGCAGGTGTGGGGCTGCTTCCACACAGTCCCTGATCCCAGCCCACCCAGTGCCTCTGTGGGAGCTCTCCACTCCCAGAAGGATCAGTTGCTACCAGGCCCTGGTGAGGGTCCAGCCAAGGCATGTGTCCCCAGGATGGAGCCACCTCTCACCATTCCATGCTGCCAGCATCTTGGTGTCCAGGTGTGGCCGTGGACGCTGTGCCCGGGCTGAGGACAGTCTGTGTCGGCATTCCTGCAGCAGGGCACTCAGCTGGACTGGCTTCAGCCCAAAGCGGGCTGCTGTCAGCTCCGGGGAGCAGTGGGCAATGAGGACGTTCTTTCCCTTCAGCTCCTGATGGGGGTCCTGAAAGGAAAGAGAGACACATTCTAGGAATGCCATCAGGCTTGGGAGGTGTTGGACTCCGAGTGTTTTGGGGCTGCTCTGCCATCCCTCCGTGCCTATGGATGCAGGTCCCTCACAGTGCTCCTGGCAACGGGCAAGTCTTTGCTCTCTCTCACCTTCATGGGGTCCACGTTGCCAGCCTCTTCCACCCCATAGTGGTGCATGAAGACATCTGCCAAGGTTGTCCCCTCTGTGGCCCCCTCGACAGGGTCAGGGAGGAGAGCCTGGAGCTCCTTGGCTGCCCACACACAGAAAGCACCTTCTCGCTTCTTTCCGGATGTGGTGGTTGGGAAAGAATCTGCATCTTCTGCACTATAGAAACCTCCTGCCTGGGAAAAGCGCAACAGAGAGACCCTCCAGCTCCAGGACAGCACTTTCAGCCAGCTCACCATCACTGCAGGGCTGGCAGCCTGGCTAATGAGCCTCAGCAGTGCTCCAGACTGAGCTCAGCTGGGAGGGAAGGGAGGAAAAAACAGCCCCAAGCCGCAAGTCAGGGCAGGCAGGGTAAGTGGCTCCCTTTGGCTCAGCCCAGGGAAGAGCGTACCCGGTCACTCAGGTCCCGTGAGACATAGAGTAGAATGTCTCGGACAACATCAGCAAAGAATTCATCACCAGAGATCTGTAGGAGACAGAGGGTGGACATCAGTGTTACATGGGTGGGGCAAGAGACACAGCAAGGTATGGTGAGAGATTTCAATTTGAGGACTTGGCAAAGGAGCATTTGAAAATCCAAGGATTTTAAATGAGGGATGAATTCAGAGTAAGACCTTCAATGGAAATCTCCTATCTGTGAATACTGCACACCTATGAAGGGCAGTGGAGAGCAATGCTGGAGTTACACCAAGGTCAAAGGCCAGCAGCATTGTTTGCTGACACACAAAGACCAGCCCAGAGGCTGTTTCCTCCCCCATAATGCCCAAAGCCCTGGGGTGACACTGTCACAGGTTTGTGCAGCACTTCTGGATAAACAACAGCAGATGAAGGGGAGTGTTGGATTGCTCCATACCCATAGGATGGGGAGTATCTTGGAGAACAGGCTTTGAAGCTGCTCCCCAAACCAGGCCAGTCCTCACAGCCTGCAGAAGTGGGTGCTGCACAGAGGGATGCCAGAGCTGTACCTGGAAGGCTCTGCTGTACATGACTGCCAGCTGCCCCTGGTCATAGAGCATCTTCTCAAAGTGAGGGACGTGCCAGTGCTGGTCAGTGGAGTAGCGGTGAAAGCCCTGCAGAGACCATGTGAAGATGTCTCTACCCCACACCTCCTGGATAGGGGCTTACCCCCAAAGATTTACTCCTACCTGACCAATGTGGTCATGGATGCCCCCATGGGCCATCATCTTGAGGGTGTGCAGAGCCATCTGCAGTGCCCGGGCACCTTCTGGAGTGGTTTGGTGCAGGGCCCAGTACGTGAACAGGAAATTCAAATTCACTGAAATACAGGGAGAAAACAGCAGGCTGTGGGGTGGGCTCTGCCCCCACGGTGCTCTCTGCCCCACAGAAGGTCTCAGCAGCAGAGACCAGACTAACCTGGGGTGGGGAACTTGGGGGATTTGGAAAAGCCACCATAGTCCTCATCATAGGATCTGGAGAGCTGCTGGAAACAGGTGTCCATCACCTCTTTGGCTGGTGGAGGTGACTCCTGGCCCTGCACAAGGATCTCTGATGTGTGTCGCAGTGCTTCCAGAATCCTCTGGCTGCTCTCCAACAGGGCATCTTTGTTCTCCTTCCACTAAAATGCAAGGTGAAAAAAACAGTTCTTGCCTTGTACCAGTCCAAACCACACCTCCAGTTCTCGATCACCCACCCCAAATCAGCTCAATCCCACTTCTAGCCAAGACAAAGCTCTGGCATGTTCTCTGGTCTACTCTTTCTCACATCTGAATCTCCTAACCCAGTCACCCTTCAAGCCCAGCCAATTTTCCTATGCTCCCTTTGGTTCAGCCCTGCCTGCTACACCATTCCTGCCCCACACCTGCTCTGCGATCCGCAGCAGCACAGTCCGAAAACCAACACGATGAACTCCATCCTCAGGAGGGAAATACGTCCCCCCAGCAAAGGGCTTGAGGTCTGGGGTCAGCCAGACACTCATGGGCCAACCACCTCCACCACTGGTGGCCTGAAAGATAAAACACATGAGCGCCAAGGTCATTCAAGAGGCACCTGCTCTGTGCCATTCCAGCACATCCAAGAGCCTCACTCAAAGACAGATGTCTGCTTCTGCCCACCCTTGTGACCCATCCAGACCACCCCATACACTGGTTCCGCTTGCCTGAGGAATATGACAACGAACAACACCCTGAGGGAGCCAATCAAAGCCTCCTGGGGCCTGCCCACGCCTCCCTCACCTGCACAAAGGTCATGTACACTTTGTCCACATCTGGCCGCTCCTCACGATCCACTTTGATGCACACAAAGTGCTTGTTCATGATCTCCCCGATCTCCTTGCTCTTGAAGGACTCCTCCTCCATGACATGGCACCAGTGGCAGGTGGAGTAGCCAACTGCAAACAAGCTCAGGTGGGTGAGGAATAGTCCTTTGCAGGGAGCAGGAAACATGTGATGGGGAGAACACTCAAGAGATGGGGACCCTTGCTATGGGCAGCAACTGCTGCCTCCCTGGACAAGAGACGGAGGAGAAAAGTCTCCTGAATTCTCCAGTTCTTGCTCCTAAATACTGGCCAAGGACTCTGGTCCTGCATGTAGCCCATATTCAGAGAGAGCTACTCCAGCACTTGGTCCTCTCTTGCTTGGTGGCCATCCATATCTACATGGCTACTCACATACCAGCTTGGGATGCAGCTCAGCTTATCTGATCATCTACTGACCGACACGTGGGGACATGAAATATGCCTTGTTTCTGGTTACCTGACAGGAATATCAGCTTATTTTCTGTCTTTGCTTTATCAAAGGCTTCCTGACCCCAAGGGTACCTGTGGGGGGAAGACAAGAGTCCCTCAACCCCATGGGCAAAAGGAGAGGAGGAGGAGGGGGGAAAGGCCTCCCATTTCTCTTACCAATCCACAGGGTTGTGGGCATGCTGCAGGAGGTATGGGGACTTTTCATTAATCAGGCGGTTGGTGTGAAGAGGGATGCTGGGGGGGCTGGGTGTCCCTGCTGTGGCCATGGCTGCAATCCCCGTCAGAAACGTGTACCTATGACACCAAACAGGCTCAGGGAGTCCCTGCTCACCACAGCAAAGCTCAGCCTCTGCACAGAGCCGTGACAGAGCAGTATGCTGTACCCCAGGCCAGGCTGCTGCTCCCCATGGCGAGGGAACCGCTCTCAGTCCCAACCCTGGGGAGCTCAGTCCACCCCAATGCTCACCCCCCAGGACCTTACAGGTCCTTCCCACTCACTGGAGGCTCAGGGGAGGTTGTTCTCCAGGTTGGCACACCCCACACACAGTGGGGTGAAGGCCATTCCCAGGGCTGCCCCCCACCAGCACACTTTGGGGGCACACTCAACAGCTGTAAATGCAGGAGCAGCATCTGTGCTTCTTCACCTGCGTGTCCTCAGAGAGGAAAATCCCTCAGAGAGGAAAATTCCCTCCCGTGGGGTGCGGGCAGGGGGAGCACAGGCTCTTTATGGCGAGGGGAGTGAGGAGCAGGAGGGGAGCAGGGAGACCCCTCTGCTGCTGGGGAGGTGCAGGGTTTGGGTACGGGGATGCAGGAGGGATGCAGGAGGGATGCAGGAGGGATGCAGGGCTGGGATGCAGGCGGTAGGAAAGGGGTGCAGAACGGGTGCACCGAGGATGTGAAGTCGTGCAGGGGCTCCGGTAGTGCGAGGAGGATTTAGGGAGGATGTCGGGGAAGGCAGGAGAAGTGTACGGGTGGGGAAAGGCTATCGGGGGGCCTCAGGAAGGTGCAGGGAATATCTACAGGAGATGCAGGAGGGGTACTGGGCGTTGCAAGAGAATTCAGGGGACGCGGGCGCTGCAGCGAGGACGCGGGGGCACAGGAGAGGTGCGGGGAGGATTCGCAGCATGGAGGGGACGCGGTGATGCCCCAGCGGGGCTGGGGGCGAGCGCAGCCACCGCGTCCAGAGCCGGAGCCGCCCCCCCGACCCCTCCGGTACCTGCGGGCGCAGCGCAGCGGCACCGCCAACATGGCGGCAGCTCCCGGGCCCCGCCCCGTTACGGGCCTGGCCCCGCCCCACGACCGGCCTGGCCCCGCCCCGGCCCATGAACAGCCCAATCACCGCCCCCGCCGCAGCCCCGCCCTCACTGAGACCCTGCCCCTCCCGCTCCCGCTCCCGGCCCGTTAGCGGCCCAGCCCCGTTACCGCCGGCGGCCCCACAGCGTGGTCGCTCAGCGCATTTATCCCTGTTCGGGGCACGGACAGGCGCACACCGGGCCGCTCAGCGCAGTTTATTGTCGCACGGGCACCCGCAGCCGCCGCAGCGCCCCAGCACCGCCGGCCCCGCCCCTGGAGCGGCGCCCAGCAGCGGGCGGGGGGCGGCGGGCCGGGGTGAGGGGGAGCAGCCAAAGGAGGGCGAACTCCGCGGGGTGGGAGGACCCGCGGCTTCCACCCCCGGCCCCGCGCTGCCCCCCCTGGGGCAAAGCCCCACCGCGCCGGGCGTCCATCCGGCAACCGGGCCCCGTGCGCCCGCCCGGCCCGCTGAGCGGAGCCCCCTCACCACAGCCCTTCGTGAGGCCTCCGCCACGGCCCCTCACAGGGGAAGGGGGGTTCCCTCCTGCCCGTCAAGCACCGGGGCTCATGCTGGCTGCCCCCCAGCCAGCCCCACCGTGGCCCCCCACACTGGCCCTCGCAGGGGAAGGGGTCCCCTGCTGCCCATTAAAGCAGGGGGGCTCATGCTGGCTGCCCCCCACAGTGGGCACGGGGACGGGGCTGGCTGGGGGCACCCTCCCGTGCCGCTTAGCAAACCCCCAAAAGTCTTGGTGGACGGAAAGATCGGGGCGATTGTAACAGCTGGGGAAGGGGTGAAAGTCCACATGTCCAGAGGCTTCAGAGGAAGGGGTTGAGCCCCCCGGGCGCGGACGGCGGGGCCGGGGGGCCGCTCAGCGGCAGTAAAGGCTGCGGCAAAGTGCTGGGGAGTTCGGGGAAGGTGCCAGCCTGCGGAAAGGCACTGGCGGAGGCGGGGAGGGCGGCGGTGGCAGCGGGGACACTGCTGAGGGGCAGCGGCAGGGATGCGCTGTAGGTCATGGAATTGGCGGGGTGGCCGGCGGGCAGGCCAGGCACTGGAGAGCTGGTCCGCATCTGGTTCAGGGTCGGCTTGGGCTGCTCGGAGAGGCTGAAGGGGTTGGTGGGGGACGGTGTGCTCAGACCTAGCAAGAAGATGGGATGTGTCAGGACTGCCAGGCCACCCCAGCCCTTCTCCTCCTCCTCCTCCTCCTCCTCCTCTCTCTCCCTTGCCCACCACTTGCCCAGCCCAGGGAAGCCCTCGGTCAGCAGTCCTGCAGCACCTACCCGAGAGAAAGGGGTTGCGAGTCTTGGAGGCTGGAGTGGGTGCGACCAGGGAGTCCAGGTTGACCAGGGAGGAGGCAGCAGGGCCAAGGAAGGCCTCGGGGGTTTTACAGTCCTTCCGCTCCTTGCCAGATTCAGGCAGGGAGTCAGCCAGGTTGGCAAGGTCAAAGCTCTTTGCACCGTCCTGCCTGGTGCTGGGGAACAGGTCGCCAAAGGGGTCAGGCTCTGGGATGGAGGGAGTGGAGATGAGACACGTGAGCCAGCTGGGAGACACCAAGGGTGACAGCATCCTTCCTTGCCACCAGGGTGGCTGACAACACACCTCACCCCAGGTCACAGTGCGACACAGTGGGGCTGAGCCTGTGGCATGGTCTGCCCAAGTATCCCCCAAGCCATCACAGGAGACAGCAGAGTTGGGGACACAGGTACATACAAGAGACTTGGGCTGCTCCCTCAGCTGTGGGTCAGACTGACACCACAGCATGTGCCCGCAGAAACAAGTTCTGGCCATGCCAGAAAGCAGCTACATACACCCTGACCAGCCCTAGAACTTCCTCCCTGCCACATGCAGGGACAGGTCACCATCCCCACCTGCCCACTCCCAGCTCTTACCCACAGGGCTGCTGGACTTGGCCAAGGAGGATGGCTGTGAGGGCTCCTGCTCCGACGGCTCAGGCGGCTTTGCAAATGGGTCAAAAGCGTTCCCCCCTGGAGCTGGGAGGAAGAGGGGACACTCAAGGAGGGGAGCAAGCAGGGAGGTGGGAGGCAGGAGATGGAAGGGCAGGAGAGAGGCAGGGGTTGCTGCCTGCAAGGAGAAAGAGAAGAGGGGGTGCAGTGTAGGGCATGGGGTTGGGGGTCAGGAATGTGCACTCAGGGAAGGCTTAGATGAACTAAATCATGGGATCATTGCAGACCAAGACACCCCTACTGCTCACAGCCATATTACCCCATACCAAGCAGGTCCCTTTCCCAGCCCCAGCAAGGACAGGTCTGCAGGAATGCTTTAGCAACCAGCACACCCCCCCCCCCCCCCCCAGTTCCTCAACCCCCCCAC